CACACTTGGTGCTCATGCATCAATAAACTGCATACACAGATTAAGAAACTATGCACACTGATTTTCAGTTCAGGATGAATTTGGAAGCAAGACTTCTGACATACTAGACATACTGCATGTCTAGTATGTGACATGCATGTGACATATGTAATATTACTTACTCACACTTTTTCCAGGGCCAATTGTTAATTTGTGTTTTCAATTAGTGGGTAAAAAAATTAAATAACCCATTAGATACCTTAATCCAATCTACCTATCTGATCTACCTCCATATAAGTCTTATTTTTCCCATTAACATCTAACAGTTTATTGATCTGTATGCACATTTACTCCTACACCACTTGTTAAGATGAATAATCTATGAATGCAAATTTTCACTTTATTTTCTTTCCTACTTTATGACAGCTGACCTCCGTTCATTTGTATCTCTTTTATGGGAGCCTGTGGTAGCCAAATGTTGTTGTTTGTACTTTGAGATACTTGTGGATTATTATGAAGTTGTATTATGTCATGCTGAAGGAAAAATTAACACTTTTGTGGGGGTTTTTACATGGGAAAATATTGTTTGTGTAAATTAAAGGTCCAGTATGTAGGATTCAGTGGCATACAGCGGTGTAGCAGATTGCAACTTTCTCGCCTCACCCTCCTGTTCCAAACGTGTAAGAGAAACTTCAGGGGCCATGAAAAATGTGACAAACACAAAAGGCTCTATGTAGAACCAGCGTTTGGTTTGTCCGTTCTGTAGATACATGGCGGTTCAACATGTAGGCATCCACAGAAGAGGACCCGCACCAAAATAAAAAATATAGCTATGAATATTATATTCCATTTCTGACAATAGATCCTCCTAAATGTTATACACTCAAACTTTAAGGCATAAAATTCGGATTATTGGATTTTAGACTTTTTGAGACCCTGCAAACACCATCCATACAACTTCATCAGTACTCTGCATTAATGTCATTGAGACTAATTTGCTGTACACATGTTTTACACAATGATTAAACTAATTGGTTAAAAGAATTAGTGTCTCTAGCTGCATTCATTTAAGGAGCAACAGGCTGCCATGGTCCACTCATTATGGGCTGGAAGATATGAAAAAGCATAATCCTCATAAGTCTGAACTGAAATCTTCTTAAGTAACCTTGACAAAGAGAAACAGTTACTTCGTTGCAAATGTGGGACAGGAAGTCCATTAGCTATTTCACAAAAGAATGAATCTTTTCAGGTCACTGTGGCATGAAGAGACACAAAAGAATATTTATATCCAAACGCTGACTACCGCTGCCTCCCCTGAGCGTCATAGTGACTTAATTGGGACACATCAGCATTTCCCCTGCAAAGTTCAACCTTACAAAGCAGTTTCTTTACCAGTCCGCACAATCCTTCTATATTTAGATCAGGGAGAAAAAAGAAGGAGAGTGTGTGTTTGTTGTAAGCTGGATGTGCGAGGAATAGAACTTTGATATGATTCCTTTCCTTACAGCTCACTCAGATGAATGTGTTTTTTCAGAGGGGGATATTACCTGGTCGCTGGCTGCGTTGGCTGTGTACTCGGGAGGCTCAGAGGCTGGTAGCGGTGCGTGGGTGGCAGTGGTGTAGGATGGAGGTGGAGTGTCTGAGGTAAAATGTACTGCAGGGAAAACACAGTACAGGTACAGTCTGAGCACATACAGTACAAGTCTAATGGAAGGTTAGACATGTAGATGTTCTCCGAGTCTCTTCAATTTTGCAAATATAAATACAACTGCTGCAGCTGCCATTACATTCCTAGCAGCTTTAACCAGAAAAGCAGTGCTTAAAGCAGGGGTCCCAAGTCAAACTGGTTTGGGCCCACTGCTGGTATCGTCATCTAACAGACACAAATATTTAAGTTACTAACATCACAACAATGCAAACAGCTGATACTATATATTTTTATATTGTCATTTTATATAATCAGATTAATGCCTGAAACCTGCTCTCCTTTTACCATCCCTTTGCATGTCCATGTATGGCCTTTGCCATTTTTCAAAGGAAATAGTTTTTTTTTAATATAATTGTATTATTTTAATTATACATGAAGGTGTAGTTTAAATTGACATGAAATAACTAAAAATATTATTATTAAAATAAAATAAACTGGATTATATGTTTAAGGCGAGAAAAGGCCTGCGTGGCGGAAGTTTAAGACCCCAGGCAAAAGGTTCTACGAGTAAGTTTCTGAAGCATTTTATGTATAATTTTTACATATGAATCAATTTTTATTGCCAATGTGTGAACGTGTTGTAACATAATTTTAAAAACCTCCTCTGGATTTTCTGCGATAATCCCTGGTCGGTTACTCTACAGTGAGCAGAAAATTGAGAATTCTTTCTTTAATGTATAAAATGTTACACATTGCATTGTGGGATTGTAAGCAGAAAATAGTTTACATTCTGGGCATTTTTGAGGGCATGTCTACCTTTTTGGCAAAAATAGTGGCAATAAGCACCCAAAGGTATCCACACTGTACTTCAAAAACATTTCAAAGCAAATTGAATTCAACAGTAAACTCAAATTCAAGCAACGCCAAAATAATATGCAACTAAAGATGAATCCACAGTGCCAGACAGTACACTTAAAAGATATTGCTCTGGGCCTGGATTGGTTATATTAGAGGGAGAGCAGATCAGAGGAAAGAAGGTGGAGAGGTCTTCCTCTATTGAGGCAGTAGGATTTCAGAGAAAGTAGAGAACCAGGAGGAATGTGATTGATTTTTACCCCGAGGGGGAGCTCCAGAGCTGATCTGGGCCTTTGGGCGAGTGGGTGGCTTGAGGCCAGGTGGTAGAGGGATCCCACTGGGAACTCTCTGTGGAAGAGGACAAGACAGGAAGGTCAGACAAATAGAAAAGTAATTTTTTTTTTCAATGGTGAAAAAAACCCAGCTGGAAGCTTTTCTTTTGTTGAAAGGAGCAGAGTAATCATCTAACCATTCTGGCTGAAGGGCTTTAACTATAGCAGGGATTTTAAGAACATTTTCATGTATTTTCCCTGACACAACAGTTTTGCTGCCTGGTCTCGGGGGTGAAGCGGAGATAAAGCCCTGCTCAGCATGAATCTAATTTTGAGCAAAAGTGTCGCCATTAAAGCTCTAAACTGAAGCCCAGTGTGTTTCCTCTCCGAAATATACTGGCCAAAGCATCACAGGGTGCATTATCGCCTGGCTCTCTGGTTCTTTGCACTATTTGTATTTGTTTACAATTTACAGAAACATTTGACCAGTATATAGACATAGTATGTTGTTGGTCATTGTTACGTTTTATATATATTTATATAAACACTTATTTCATCACCTTCATGTATGTTATAATAGCAGGCCCGCCCAAATAAATGGTTGGGTCCCTGAAAATGTCTACTGAATTGGCTCTCACCAAACCTGCTTTACTCATACAGACACATGCGTGTACTCTCTCATTCCTACATAAACACATACATGTAAACTAGGAGCAGCTTTCTGGGCCTATTTTTACCCCTTATGACTGGCCCTGTAAAAAAGTTTAATATTTATTTGACCTTTATTTGTTTAGCTGTTTGTCTATTTCTACTGGAGCTGTGTGTAACATTAAGAGTATAGTCATACTTGGCCAATAAAACTCTGATTATTACATTGACAAATACATTACATTCTCCTTTTTGCCTTTGGACGTCTTGACATCTGCATGTTCAAGCAGGGACACTGGCAGAAGTCCTCTCTGAAAAATAAAGACCTAAAAGTCAGACACTCACTTAAAAAATACAGCTTTCTCACCAGGGTTGTAGACACCAAATTCTCAGTTTGATGTCTGCTAATTTGGGGGTTTATAACCTGAAGTGGAATAATTGCATAGAAATTACACATGATGGGTTTCAAAGAGATATTATTCCAATTGATTAAACCTTCAAATGGCAGTCTGCTGTATAAGATTTACACTGTATCTTTGCCGATTATAGATTTAGCTTCTCTCTCTCCTCACCTGTCCATCATATATGACAGTTGCCATCCCATCCCTGTCTTCCTCGCCAAATAAAAACACCATGGCCCCTCCTGGTAAAGTCAGCTGTCCTGGGCCCCGAGCCATGTAAGGGCTCCGAATGCGCATGTATCGAGAATCCCTGACAGGTAGTGAGAAGAGAAAAACATACATCACTGTTTTATAATGTGTTATTCAATATAAATATGACCTTAGCTTACCTTAGGTTAATAATATCTCTATGTGACAGGTGATAATACTCACTGAGCTCCATCCATCTTGGGCTCATAGAAACCAGGTTTCTGTGGAGAAGACAGAGTGAGTTTGGCATAAGGGGTGACTGACAACCAGATCTTATACTGACACTGGTCATTATACAGTACCTGCAGCCTCAGAGGTTCAAAGCCTCCAAAATCATCATTGGGAATCATGGAGGAAATCACCTGCAAGTAGAGCATTATACATTACTGACTTCTACACACCATAGTTTAATTACCATGTAAAATATTTGTTAGTGTTATTTTTTTTGTTTCGCTGAATGGACAGTTTGAATGACCCATACAGTATACTGTTTTGGATGTAATCAGACAATTTGGGTGCAATTTTATTCTTTATCTTCTCATTCTTTATCTTAATCATCTTTTTTTTCTTAATCAGAAAGTTGAAAAGAAAATATTCTAATATTCTTTCATCAAACAATTAATTGACCCTTCCAAAGTCCCATCTATGGGCTGATATTTGTGTCAGTAGAAACTGAATTTGAATTATTTAGAGCTGAATCTGAATTGATATTTGTTTTGTATTAAATTTATTACATGATCTGAATGCAAAAAATTATTGAATTTTGATTTTTTAGTTAGAATTTTTCAACCTAACTATTCAACTTTTTATGTATTTCAAATTCAAGATTCTATCAATTAGATTCTCTACATTCATTCAAGAATGTCAATTACAATTCAAAATCCTTTCTAAAAATTCAAAAATTCATTCTTTAAAATTCAAAATTCAGCAATCGCTCATAATAGACTCAAGGTCAAATTCAAGATTCGCTCAATTCAATTTCAGAATCGCTCAAATTCAAATTCCAGATTCGCTCAATCTTTCCCCCTCGTCGTAATCCTCAACTCAAAAATTTTAACCCACAGAAAATACAATTTTTAAGTCAAGCAGTCGGCGTTTTCAACAACTTTAAGGAAAAGAAGCAATCGGTGCAAAAAGAAGTACCCTGCCTTCTTTTCCAACCACCCAGCAAAGGGCGACTTTCAACTGGATTAAAAGAAACCCAGTTCCAATCAGAATAATGCAAAATAAAAGTTTCTGAACTGTTACCCATTAAAACATTTTTTATTTAACAGTTTCAAGTCCTTTTTTCAACACCATGATTGTTTTTCATTTTAAGGGTGTAATCCGACCTATTTAGGAAAATAGAGATAAGCAGTTAATGCTTTTTAGAGAGGGGCTGTGATTGAATCGTGGGCGACTTTGCCAATCAAAGCTACAGTGGACTCTTACTACTTGCACTGTAACATTTTGACAGGCCCCGAAAAATAGGAAAAACTTATTAGAAGTGGCTTTAATATTTTTCCGGTTTTTTCTTTAGTTACATTTTTTGTTTTTTAGGCAAAATAAAGGTCCTGATTGCCAGCAGGGTTGAGCGTTCAAAGGGGTTAAAAATCTTTCACCGTTTATATGGTAAATTTTCAAAAGGTGGCAAATTCTAGGATACAATCACCTCCGCCTGTAACCGGTTCCGGTTCAACCGTAAGATGCCATGGAACTTTAACCGATTATCGGAGTATACAGAGGTGGCAAAACACAGTGCCTTTGTGGTTCGAAACCACCCACCCTAACTCAATATAGGTAACTAACAACCTATAAAAGCAGTGTTGTAGAGAAAGATCCGAACTGACTGGCAGCTTTTTGTAGATCTGCTAGAAGAATCCGACAATTTATTAAATGTTAACCCTGCATATCAAAAGACTTGGTAAGCCATGAATGCTTGATCTACTGCACAATGTGGGGAGAAATTTCAAACAACAAAGTCATATTGTAACAACAACAGATTAGCTAACGTTACGTTCTCTTGACCTGAGAGTTTGGATTGGAACAGCCTGGTGGTTAGCAACTTGCGCATCAGCAGTGTTTGCGATCACACAAAATGGCTCATTTTGAATATTTAAAATTAGCCAGGTGTTGATGGGTCGAAGACAGAAAAATAACGAAGCAAATTATTATGACAACAATTTTTAAGCCAATAATAATATATTAGATTTAACTGCATGATTAGTTTTTCAGCATTTTGCGAAATTGCCGCAAACTTCCAAGTGCAAACACGAAGAAGCAATAAAACTTTTTCCGGTTTTCACACAAATGAACAAGATTAATAATCAAATCAAAATCGATCCGTGGCCTTATTTCATTTTCCTATTTTGAATCTGAGCAATTGAAATCGAAAGTTACAAAATGAAACCGTTTTATTTGTTTTTTTTTGGTATCAGAATTCATAACAAACCGTTTTTTCATTTTCCGTTGTAAATTGTCAATTGAATATGAAAAAAAAAACGAATTGATACACGGATTTTCTTTTCTTCCATCACACTGCAAACATACAGACTGTAAATAATTAAATCAAATATTGTATAAGTCAGAAACCTTGAAAAATTGCACAAAAAGATAAATAATAGTCATGAAAATGCTACCAGTCTAATTCATGTTTTTTTTTATATTGAGATTATTGGTGTTTTTCGGACAACAGCACTTTGTTTTGCCCACGTTAAATATCCATAATCGTTTTTCTTTAAGTTTTCCATGGCATCTTACGGTGAACCGGCAACCCTACGCGGCAGTGGATCTGTATCCTAAGACTGCCACCTGAAATTACCATCATAAAGGTGAAAGAATAACCACGTTTTGAGCTTAACCCTGCCTGGCAATCAGGAAACGATATTTTGCCCTAAACAAAATGTAACCTAACCGAAAAAATATAAACAGCCGACCTCCTAATAATTTTTTTCCTATGTTTCCGGGCTCAAAGTACAGTGCAAGTAAATGAAGTCACTGTAGCTATGACAGGTCGCCAACAGACTTCAATCACAGCCCCGTCCTTAAACATAAATGCTTTATCGTCTATTGTTTCCTTAAATAGATCGAGTTACACCTTTAAAATGAAAACATCATGCTGTGTTTTGAAAAGGACTTGAAATTTTTTTGAAAAAAAAATGTTAAAGAGGTTAACATCAGAAAAACTTTATTTTGCAATTAGTTTCTGATGGAACTGGCCTTTCTTTTTACCCGTGGAAAGTCGCCTCTGCTGGCTTTGAAAGAATGCAGCTTACTTCTGCACCGATTTGCTTCTGTTCCTTAAGTTCGTCCGTCTGTGAACTAAAAGTTGTATTCTGTGATTTTCTTAATTGAGTTTGGAATACGCGAGGGAGAATGAAGCGATTGAAATTTTAATTAGCGATCTTTGAATGAAATTTAGAGATTTTGAATTTGAATTTTAGAGATTTTGAATTTAATTTTAAGAGAATTTGAATTTTTTGTATGAGCATCCGAATTTGGAATTTAAGAGATTTGAATTGTATACGAATCTGATTGGATTTAGAAAGATCTGAATTTGAAAATTTAGAGATCTTGGAAAATTTTGAAAGTACAACCTAAAAAGTGAATTTTAGTGAGGCTGAAATTCAGTGTTTAAACTAAAATTTCCCCTAATTCAAATTCTGCTACCTTTCAAATTCCAGTTAAAAATACAAATTCAAATCTTATGCGCAATTCAGATTCAGCTCTAAATAATTCAAATTCAGTTTCTACTGACACAAATATCAGCCCATACCCATCCTTCTTTCTGACAGAGGCTTGCTCAACTGTTATTGGAGCACAGAACAAAAAGGGGCGGGACTTAGGAAGGGTCAATTACTTATTAACTAATTTGCCTCATTTCGTGTCTGAAGTTAGCTATCGAGACATACAGAAGCCGCAAAGTAAAAATGAGTATTCTGGTTCCTGCTGACACATCCACCCTATCAAGTGGAGTTGTTTTTTCTATGATAATGATTTGAGTTCATTTGTTTTAAAAATTCCTTAATTAAGATCGTGCACCATATATAAAGGCCACAGAATTATATATACGTCAAAAAAATAGGCTTAGTTGATATTATACTTTAGTGGTAAAATATTCCTAAACCAATGTGGGACCTTAGGACCCTGCTACCACAGAGGGGATGTGACTTCCAAACTGAATTTTGCATTATTCTAGTTAGAAGTAAGAGCTTTAAATGTTTGGAGTAATCCAAGCATCTTACCACCATGGTGACACTCTACCTTTGCTTTGCCCAGGAAGTCCCTTTGCTGCAGTTGCTCCACATCCTGTTTCCTAGGCCGAAACACCACACCCTCCGGCACCAGGATAGGATCCAGGACCTCCTGCCTCTGTTATTAAATTCAGAGTAAAGTGATCCTTTTCAGTGTAAATGACAATGATTGCGTGTACATACATACTGACTTTTAGAATTATAAAATCACTATTTTAAGTCAGAATATAAGTCATCTGAGCTGAAATCAAACTTGGCCCTTCCATATATTTGTCATTGCAGTTGAATAATTGCACATTTGTAGTTCATTAATGAAAAGCAGTATATATTTTACTTTATTTTACTTTATTTTGATATAAGTATGTTGTGTCAAATGTTGTTGAATGTCCTGTCTGTCCTGCTGTGGCTGTGACTTACTTTTGCAGGTATGTCTGATGTTGCATACACCACCTGCACTCATTTTAAATGGGTCCTTGCCCTTGCTGCTGCCTGATAAGTGGCACAGCAGCGTGGTCAAATGGAGCACTGCCAATGATTCACTAAGCAAAATGTTCCACTTCATTGCATCTTTAAAGAGGTAAGGACATACCTAACTTTTAAAAATCATCATATTTCTATCCTGATTTAGACATTCAGTAAGGCAATGGCATAAATGCAGACAACATAAATAGTGCAAGGTAATTGACTTTGGAGATCTGTGACCAAAGACTATATCACATCTTCCCAGTCTGTTCTAAAAGTTGTGACACTCACCAGGACGCTTTCCATAGCCACCTCTATGCTTGCCCCTCGACCCCCTCCTCCTCTCTCCTGGGAAGCTGACACCAGGACCTCCCTGGCCTGCTCCCACTGGCCCATCCGACAGTACACAGCTGCTGCATTAAATAACACCTAGGGGACACATCACAATTATACATTTCAGTACTATCCCATTAATATTCAAGTTATCTTTACTGCTATGTGAAAACACAAACTAATAGACATTTTACATAATCATTTTAAAACTTAAAACTGTCTATATGGGAGCCAGTACCAATGATTCAATGATTACTTAGCTAAAATTTCTATCTTCCGAAACTTACTTTCTCCTAAGAAAAAAAATCCCATGCAGCAAAGTTTTAAGACATTGGAGGATAGAGCTATCAGCAAACAATTTTTTGCTACAAAGGCTAAAAAGCAGTATTATCATTTGAGTATTCATCGGGGCGATATGTCTGTGTATTGCTTCTATTGGACCTATGATTTAAACAGCCAGAGACCTGTGCCCATTTCACAACTTTTTCCACCTTGAGGAATAACATTGTTGGTGAAATGTAGTAGGATGTATTATTTATCCTTTTTTTATTGTGTAATAGAAATTGTCAAACTACCTTGGTGATGTTTGGGTCCTTTATGTGTATATTTAAGTGCTACAATTTAGTGTGTTCAATTGGAGACATCCCAACAACTAAGAGCTTGATAGAAATGGGAAGTCTGTCTGTCATTCTATTGTAGAAAAATGTGTCTTAGTGTTCTTTATCATGCATTCACTTAGCACACAAGTGCTGAATACACCAATATCTAATACTTTCCAAAAATAAAATTGTGTTGTTTGGGGGAATTGTATGGAAGCCGGGAACGGCCATGCTTGGAAGTACTTTTTTGAGTTATTTTATCTTGTAATCGAGATAAACAAGCTTTGTAATCTTGAGATAACAAAATAAACAACCTGTTGTCATAGGAAAACAAAAGGTTGGCTAACAACTCTTTTCAGTTCAGTTATGAATCCAACCAACAGTCATGACAGTAATCTGAAAGGCTGAAATCAATTGTGATCAAATGAACCAGACACTGATTTTAGAGTTTTGCTTTATTATCCTTGTTTTCTCACGATATATTATCTCATTATCTAGCAAAATTTGCCTATTGTTTTATTGAGATAACGAGATAAATTTATTTGTGATCTCCAAAAAACAGCATTAAAATAATAACTGCAAGCACGGTTGTTCTCGGCTTCTGTAAGTTTGTGCATTTGGAACCATGTCATTAAAGGTCCCATGAAAAAAAGTTATTATTTATTAAAATAATAGTAATTGATAGTAAACCAGTTATGTAGTCACCTTGGAGTGGTTTTAGCTAGCACCATACTGGAATGTTTGTGTGACAGCTCAGAGTCTTGACAGATGCTAAAAGTTACCAGTTCTTTGTCTTATTTTCTTCTACTTGTTCGGCTTCAGATTTTTGTGTGTTTGGAGCCAAAACGTCTCAAGATAAGCAAGAATTTCTGCTCAAGTTAAAATAAGTTTTGTGGCACCCAGGTTGAATTGACCCTTCCTAAGTCCCGCCCTTTTTGCTCTGCGCTCCAATAACAGTTCAGCAAGCTTTGGTGAGAAACTTGGTAATCTTTTTCTTTACCTGTACTTGGGTATGCTTTCGTTTGCTATCTAATTAGCTGGCTAGTTATCAGCTAGATAACGACTGATGTAGATCAACTAGCTAGTTAGCAACCCTTTTGCTAACATTAGCTAACTTGCGCTAATATGTGATAATACATGTCACTTTTATCTTCAAAATGAACATGAGCCTAGCACATAGCATATCTAAGTACGGGAAAGGAGAAAGTAGAGTTTCCAAAAGGAACAGGAAGGGTCAATTAGCATCTATTTGCCTCTGACTTTACGCTGATATTTTATGCCTGTGGTTCCCAACCAGGGGGTCAGGACCCCCACTAGGGATACACAAAACTTCATGAGGGGTTGTGAAGCCTTCTTTATTTTAGGGGTTGTAAGAAAACGGTAGACACACAGTATCGGCCTATATCTTGCCTATATTTCAAACACTGAATTTGTCGAAAAAGAAGCCAATTAAGTATATGATTGTTAAAAAATAAAATACATAATACAGAAAGAGAATTGTGTAAAAATATCAAATATCAAAACTCATCAACAAATCTCTGGTTTTACACAACCTTCCTGCAGTTATTGTGTTCACTGTTTGGGTTCATTGTACAGTTTATCAGTTGTTCTCTACTCTTATTGTTATGTAATATGAATAATCCATAACATATATCTTTACACTTTGTGGGGGCCATCAGTTCACTCAATAATAGAAAAGGTGTTCCTTAAGGAAAACCAAACCACAAGTGAACACTAATTCTGAAATCTACAAACCTTTGAGCACCTTCATTATCATCGTCATTATAACCATCATTGTGCATTCTTGAGTGGACTGCCGGTGAGGTCGTTATGTAGTTTACATGACAAAACTGCATCATTTCCATTGTATCAGAGGTGGATGGCACTGATGACTGTGTCTGATGATGCGATGTAACTTTTTAAACTGATGGTCACATTATCCTGGCTGTTGCACATGTTAGCAGCACTCAGCCTTAGTTTAGCTGTTACTGGCTGCAAGTACAGGTGCACTTATCTGTACTGTGAGAAATATGTGATGTTGTGCAACCTCTTCTTCAGCCTCTATCAATGAGGCTTTGTTAGCTCCCAGGTGTATGTGCCATCTGAACTGAACAGGAGGTGGTGACACAGTGCAGTTTGGTATGTTTTCATTCCTCACTACTAACAGACATCATGGGATTGGATTTCATGTTTTAATTGATTGCAACATGTCAGAAGAAGCACGCTGAGGTATCTGTGTGCAGTGTATATGTGTGAGTACACTGAGAATGTCAGACCTGCCAGCTGTAGAGTTTGAATTGCAATCCCAGCTGTCTGTAGTCAATGACCATGTTTCCTCTCATGTGCTTCTGTGCCCAGATACAGTCTGACAGCGCCTCTTCCAGCCTGGAGAGACAGTAATGCAGATCAGACAAACAGAGAGAGATATACAGTGATGAATGAAAAACAGCTGATAGTTTCGAAATGGCAGCCTGGGCCACAAATGCTCTATAGAAAAAGTTTAAATTGTTGTTTTCCTGGGATGTTTTGTGTCTTTTTCCTTTTTGGCATGATAACCTCCTGAAGTCTCTGCTGGTTGCCTGGCAATCTCACAGTGATTGTAGTCCAGACATACCCCGTATGTGGGGCTCTGTGAGCTTTAGAGGTGCTGGGCTAGCTGTTTCTCCCCTGTTTCCAGTCTTAATGCCAAGCTAAGCTAATCAGCTGCTGGTGGTAGCTTCACATTTACAGTACATATCTAATCTCACCAAGAATTAAAAAAAAAAAACTAAAAAAAACGCATTGCTGAAAATACCAAACCATTTCTTAAAGGTCCAGTTTGTAAGATTTGGTGTCACCTTTCGGTTTAGTTGCAGAACTATCTCACTTTACTGTCCCTTTCCAAGCGTGAAGAAGAAACTATGGTGGCCATGAAACTCACAGAAACACATGAGTGTTTGGTATGTCCCTTCTGGGCTACGGTAACAACATTGTGGTTCAACATGGCAGACCCCAAGGAAGGAGACCCAGACCCTCTATAGACAAAAAAGCCTAGTTTTAAGGAAACAAAAACACAAGGATTCCTATATTCAGGTGATTATACACTAATGAAAATATACCTATGAATATTATATTCCATTTCTGACAATAGATCCTCCTAAATGTTACA